CACAGACCAGCCTGAAATCGCCGAGCACCTGCTGAAGGCTGGCTGCGACCTGGATGTCAGGGACTTCCGTGGGAACACCCCACTCCACATCGCGTGCCAGCAAGGCTCGATCCGCAGCGTCAGCGTCCTCACGCAGCACTGCCAGCCCCACCACCTCCTCGCTGTCCTGCAGGCCACCAACTACAATGGTACGCTCGCGCTGCTCTGGCAGAGACCTCTTGAGAAGTATCTCGTTCCCTTTGCAGTGCTGAGGAGGCCCCAAAGCAACGCAGTATCTGACTTCCTTAAGATGTCATGGGTTCAGCCTTCTGGGCCTTCTTGCTCATGATCGTTGGCTCTCATGGGCCTTAAGTTTTGTATTTTTAGTGAGTACTTCTGCATAACTGCATACTCTGCAGTTATGTTTTTGTGTGTTCCTTTTTTTTTTTTTTTCTTTTTTTCCTTTAATTTTTAGTTGTTACAGTAAGGCACAGTTAAACACTGGAATAAAGCCTCTAAGAAATATTTCCAAAATCCAACCCAGTTATCCATACTTAACAGAAGCTGGAAAGCTGTTTTGAAAAATGTGTTTTGCCCTGGTTAATTTACAAACTTAGATACTGTCCTGTCCTATCATCCTGACTTTAAACAAGTTATGGGACATTAGGTAAGACTTACTCAAATTTTGCCTTCATTTTTATCTCCCAGGACATACATGTCTCCATTTGGCATCTATTCAAGGATACCTGGCTGTTGTCGAATACCTGCTGTCCTTAGGAGCAGATGTAAATGCTCAGGTATGTACTTTACAATATGAATTTGACTGAGCTGTCTAGTCAGAAGAATCAACAGGTGTGACAGTGCTAAGTCTCACTCCCCTAATGCAGTACCTCATGTTGTTTCCAAACAGGAGCCATGCAATGGGAGAACAGCACTACACTTAGCCGTAGACCTGCAGAACTCAGACCTGGTGTCACTTCTGGTGAAACATGGGGCCGATGTGAACAAAGTGACCTATCAGGGCTACTCTCCATATCAGCTCACATGGGGACGAGATAACTCCAGCATACAGGAGCAGCTGAAGCTGCTGACCACAGCTGACCTGCAGATACTGCCTGAAAGTGAGGATGAGGAGAGCAGTGAATCAGAGCCAGAGTTCACAGAGGATGAAGTAAGTACTGTTTGCTTCTTTTCAAGAGAGGAGTCACATCCTGCCCGTTGTTTGGCTGGTGTTGCAGGGATGACCTCTTCCCTATAAAACTTTTTGGGATAACAGCCCATGAAGTAAGGCTGTGCTGCCAACCATCACAGGAGTGACGGTTAGGGCAAGGATATAAATAGAATGAGCTTAAGAGTGAAATATAAATAATACACTGGGGAACAGAGGGTAGTTTCACACTGTGTGATTTCTCTGTAGGTATACTACAGAACTTCATGACATAAAATAGTTAATGAGTGGATTCGGACTTCTCAGCGTTTGTTTTTGTGACAGTCTTAGTGCTGTTAAATAGCAAATGTAACCATTTCAGTGTGTAAGTTGCAGACATACTGGAGTTAGGGCATGTAGAATTTGGCTGCTGTCCCAGAGTAGATGGGATACTCCTAGTAGGAGTTTGGCATTAACAGCATTTTGTTTTTCTTCCAGCTTATGTATGATGACTGCTGTATTGGAGGAAGACAGCTGACATTTTAAAGCTGAAGTTTCTGTGAAAAGTGACTATGTACATATGTATAGGAAAAAAAAGCCTGACTTTCTTCATTTAAAAAGAAAGTCTATACTCGAAGGAGAAAAAAGTACTGAGATACTACACTGCCCAGCCAGGAGCACGTCATGCTAACAGGTTCCATGTTCTGGCCTGTACTTCAGTAACAGGAATGGGATGTTTAACATTGTTAAGAGATCAGTGAACGTGCACACCATCTGATAAAGAGCTACATTATCTAATTTTCTCTGCTGCATGAGGATAACAGACTGCACGTCCAATGTACTGTAAAAAATGCATTTGAGAGCGGCCTTGTGACACTAAGTGCTGTGAGGAGTGCTCATCCCCTCGGTGGCAAGACAGGCCTGCACAAACGTCCCATCTGCTTCAAGACTGTGAAGTTGGCATTAGGTTAAGGCACTGCTGTGCCCTGCTCCCTGACCCTGGCTGCTCAGGGTTGAGGTGCAGCAGGTGGAGAAGTCTGACCATGGGAAAGGTGACCTGGCTGCTGGGAGGAAGGTAGCAATGATGTTAACTGTGGGCATTGGAAACTGTGTGTTTCACACCATGTGTGTCATAATTGCTACACTTTTTAGCAACTGTAAAGAATGTAAATACTGTACATTTTTGTTTATAATTATTTTGGTACCTGTGAGATATGTATTTATTAAAAAAGGCAAATTTCTGTACCCAGCCTTCGAAACAGTTCATTATCCATCTCATCATGAGCTGCATGGGATCCACATGGTCAGCTTTTTCAGTAATAGCTGATGTAGTAAACATATGGGGTCAGAGGCTGGGGGGTTTTGGGTAGTTCACTACAGGAAGAGTAGGACATGTAAGCAGCTTTCAGCTCCCAGCATTTCTGCTGCAGCTAATTTTAGCAACACGTAGGTGTAGCTTCCTGTGCTGGTTGTTGCAGGCGGGTAGGGGGTTGGGATTCCCCATCTGCTGCACAAGTGCCAGATTGTACATGCTATGGAGAGACTGAGTCTATCTTCAGTGAGAGGTGCCTGCTCTAGGGGCACCTTTTTTCCAGCTCCTGGTGTCTCGGGGTGCAGTGAGGATGCAGAGCACAGCTTTGAAACCTGGTTACTCTTGTATTGACTTGCTCAGGGACGTTTGCAGAGCAGCCCTGTGCCTGCCTTCCCTCTCATTTATCACAGCCTGAATCTGCTTTGAACTTGGACACCTTCAGACTTTCCAGCGGGGATTTCCGCAGGAAGGAGCGCATGCCCGGGAACGAGCACTGCTGCCTTTCCCCAAACTGCGGGTGGGGGCCTCCCCTTCTCCCTGCTGTGGGAGCTGCAGCTCTCCCTGCCCAGCCTACAGCTATGAAATAGGTGCCCTTAACACATTTAAGTTATTCCTCTATGTTTTCACCAGGAATTAGTGCAGATGGAATAATTCTGCTTAAACTCCCATCTGCATCTGATCGCCTTTTGGCAGTGTGGTGCAGAGCAGGCCTAATTTTAGCTGCAGATACTGGAACAGTATGTGATGAACATAAAGCAATCGCTCAGTTGAGTGAAGCATGACCACAGCCAGCTTTCGGGCTGCATTTCACCTGTGCCACAACCTTGGGATCAGGGTGGAGTGCGTCAGAGCTGCTGACGCAGGACAGAGCTCTGCTAGGAGCACCAGCCAGGGGACTTTCGTGCAGCTGGCAGTTGGCCAGGCTTAAAAGCCAGTGTGGGCGGTGATGGTTCCAGCTTGCCCAGGGAGACCCTTTTCCTCTCCCATGAGGGATTTCTGATACAACTTGTGCAAAGGGCTGTTTGGTATGAGGAAGAGCACTGCAACTGCCTGGTGCTTCTTAATTTGCATGGGAGCTAAAGGCTGTTGTGGAAGTGACTGTACAGAAATTGTAATCCTGAGTCATTTATACTTCCCCTCCGCTCTCATAGCATTAGAATTGCCCAGGTGTACACACTGGAACTTCCTTCTTGTAGAAAGGGCTATGCCTGAAGTTCAAGCCTGCACATTTTCCAGGACTGGGTCCGTGCAATAATCTTTTTTTCTGGGGCTTTGGGCCTCACCCTGCACTCCTGCAGATATAGCACCTACTAAATCTGATCTGTGGATGAAGTGGTGGGGGTTTATCCACCTACAGCAAAGAATCCCAGACAAATTTCAGCCTTTCTCGATTAAGCACCACGTTGCAACAGTTGAAAATAGAAAATGTTCCAACATCCAGCTACGTCCCAATTTCCCACTGACAAAACATGGGCTTGAAATTATGTCAGGGTCCTTTGGAAGCATTCACCACCTATAGATATCAATGTGCTGGAAGTGCTGAGGTACATGGCCAGACCTGGTATACAAATATTTAAACAGATATCATCTGAATACAAATATTTTTTACTCAAAGGCTGGAGCGAGAGAGAAAAGTGCAGTTATCAGGAGTATCGGTCTGGTTGAGTACGTTCAGAGGCAGTTGTATGTTCCCTGGTGCCCAGCGCAACATTTAGACAAATAATACGTTAGGCAGGTGCAGTTATAACATCATAAGAGTTCTATAATGACTGAATAAATGAAGCAAATGCTGTACTGCTGTACAAGGAAGTTCTACAGCTAACCAAATCATTGCCAAAGTACTGCTTATTCTACTGTTTGCCTTCATCAGTCATGCAAAAGTAACAAAGTAGTGAAAATGCAGGAAATGCAGTTTAAAGCAAATAGAACAGAGGGTAATGTGAGAATATGTGTCTGTTCACAAACTAGCTTTGGGCATGTTTTATATTTGCAGCCACTCCACAGGGCATATTGCTAGTGCAGTGTTTCGCCTTTTCACTTGATGGAACTTGATTGTGCTGTAACACAGAAGTGAAGATCATCCATTATAAGTTACCCCCCACCTCCCAAGAAAGCAAATTTTGACACATGCCCTTAGCCACTGCTTATCTGCACTCTTTTCCACACCTATCCATTTGGAAAGATCTTTTGAGACTGGCTTTGTTGATAACCTTCTGCTTCCTTCTTAGCACTCTTGTAGACATGTCTCATTAGTGAGAATAGGAAAGGAAGATCCTTAAGCATTCATTCATTCTGCCACCATGGCTGCTGTTAGCAGAACAACTCAGCTTGCTCTCACTTGTCTGCTCCCTCCTGCCAATGCTCCTCCACATTGGCCCAAAACTTTCTTCCAGCACCTTGAACGCCTTGAACAGGGCACTATGAGGCTCAGTAATCTTTAAAGGGTTCAGAAGCATCCATTCCACATACAGATCAGGGTCCGATTCAGTTTAGTTTCAGTTTCCTGACTGGCAACTGCCAGGAGCATGCCCTACAGAAAAGCATACAAAAAGAGCAACTATCAAGCAGTACCGAGCACAGTCTCCTAATTTCAGCAACCCTGTGATTTAAAGACTGCCAGAGATCAAGGTGGCCTCTTTCTGTGAGATGGTTCTTCATGAGGTTTTATTGTACAGAACTTGTAAACTTCTGAAGTTGCTGCACACCTCCAACATCAGCAGCATCTTGTGACAGGATTGCCCCGGTCCACTTACAAGTGGTGTGAAGAAGCAATCAGATAACTTCCTTTGAAATGCCCCTGACTACAGACTGATCCTCATAGCACATTCTCCTTCCGATTTATCCTGTGGTATCGTAACTCTATTTCCTCCTGGGACTGCAACTTTTGCTGCCTTCACTCCATGGACATTGCTGCCCTGGAGCTGCTGGGAACTTCCCACACAGGATCCCTCATCCCTCTGTTCTTCAGAACCAGGACAAGCACACAGCAGTACATTTCTCCCATTCCTTGGGAATTCCCTCAGTATTTTTTCTTAATGTAATCACACCTATTGTTATTAACAGGGTCAGTTCTCTCCATTAGCCCAGGTCTTCAGCACCTTTGTCTTCCCCTTTTCTGCTCCCAACCAGCAGCACGATCTGCCTTTTCCTGCTCTTCTCTGCATTCCAGACTGAGCCCTTTCTTTGGGTCTCTCCTGTTCTCCTGCACCAGCTTCCCTGTGAACTCATTCACTCATCCACTTTCATGCACTGTACTCCACGAGCTAGCATTTTTGTGTCCATCCTGTGCCCTTTGCTCATATCTGTAGATCTCTTTGATAATCTCTCAGGGATATTCCCATATTTCCTTATATTGCACAGACAGGTCTGAACTCTATTTCCTCCCACACCCTCCTCTTCCTCTTGCCTCAGTACTCTGGCTCCCTGCAGGCCTCTCTTACCCCCCAGCAAATTCTGAACCCTTCTCTTTAACTCACTGTACAAATTGTGAAGATGCAGATGCCTCACCTCAGCCTCTCTACCCTCAACAAGGAGAGCTAGGACAGGCAGCCCACATGTTGGGCAGCTCACAGCATGAGGGGCCTGCGCTTCAAGATTTAACTCCTACATTGCAGATTTGACTCTACACCGCAGGATTTAATGCCTACAGTGTGGAGTTTAACTCTTGCTCTACTGCAGCCCTTCATCATTAGGAAATGGCTCCCTGTTGACTCTTTGGTATTTAACATACCACACATAGCACAGAAGCACTACTGGACCAGACAGGGCCAAGGCACAAGGTTTAGCAATAAATTGGCCCCACATACAGCTAGTGGGCCCTGCTGCATGACTGCCTCAGTAAGGCTCAGTGCACCAAAAGGCAGGGAGGACACTAAGAATCTTGATCTGTTTAAAAAACAGTTGCTGGCTTTACCCCACAGCTTTAATTTATTTATTTGGGACAGGAACTGCGGCCGTACAGCCTCTCCTCATCTCCAACAGCCAGTCAGAGCTCTCTGAAGCCTGCACATCAGAACCAAAAGCTGTTACATTTAACATGGTTTTAGTGTAAGAAACCAAAGTCCAGAGGGCTTGAAACAGAACCACCCCTTCCCTGGAGGTTTGACTTCCCTTCTTCCCCCTCGCTTCAGCTCTCAGTTTGTCCCAAGGCCATGTGCTTGTCCAATTCTCCAAAGAGGACTTTCCAGTCTGGATCAGAAGAAAGATGGGTTTTTCTCTGCTCAATCCTTTCTGCTGTGTCACTGCTTTAGAGCCATCACAAGCCGCTGCAATGCATGCTGTCACTTTTCCCAGCAGTGGTCACACTGCTTGTGGCCATAGAGGTCTCACCACCTCTCCAGGCAGACTTGTCCCCACTCTGGTCCCACCTCCTGCCTGCTGCTACCCTGCTTATTTATTGAGCTTAACCTGGGGATTAGTGTTCTTACTCAGAAGGAATAGGCCCCCAAACCTTCAATTTAAATCCTTTTCATGTTCCCTGTTTAAGGTAATGAGATTAATTTTCCTGTGTGTCTTTCAAAGGACACCCTGAAAAGAAGCTTCTCATCCCTCCAATCAAAAATAAAACACAAAGCACGATGTGAAAACAAATGAGTGAATGTATGCTAAGTGCTGCAAGATCATCACACAGAAAGAGCCTTAAAACGCAAACATTTCTAACTTGAGTGCACCCAGAAAAGTGCACATGGCTATGATTACAGAGTAAGTTTTAACTCAGTTAATTATTATCCCAGGATTTCAATAGCTTGGAGGAGGGAGTTTCACAAGGAAGGAGGGAAGAGTTCTGCAAGCACTGTGCTTCACAAGCCTGTTTGTCTGCACTTGGGACTGCCCAGGTGTTGCACAAGAGGCAGCCCACACTGAGCAGCTGCCAGCAAGGGGCTGTGCTGCTCACCATGCACACAGTGCAGGAGGACTTGAGCTGTCTTTTTCCTCTCTGCATGGGAAAAGGACACGCAATTTCTGAGCTAGAGATCTAAGCATGTGTTGAACCAAGGACTGAAAGTCAGTAATGATAGCTGCCTGGCCCAAGCAGCACACAGAGCGAAACCACCCTCTTATTTAAATTTTTCTAAGAGGAGAACTTTCCACTCCAATCTGCGTCAGGGCTGATGCTTCTGGACTCAGGCTAAAACACCAGCCTGACTTCTTGTAGTAGCCTCTCTGAGAAGCCTTGCACCAGCAAACAAGAAAGCAAACAAAATCTCACCTCAGCTGCATGAAGCCTACTTACCCTGGGCTGTGCCAAGCTTGGTCTGAGGAAAACTCTTCAGAAGAGGGGGATTCACACCACCCACTCACCTCTAAACACGCTTGACCTGCACCTCCTGTCTAACTGCCTCAGGAAATTTCCTGAGCTGTAGCAAAACATCCCACACTGCCTGTCTGCCCAAGACCTATCCATTCTCCCATCCCTACAGGCTTGCCCTACAGCAACAGCAAGCTGAAATGCCTGGCATTGAGATGCTGGCATATCCTGTGGGACCCTGGCCCTCTTCTTAAGGTGGTTATTTTTCACATGAAAATGCATTAAGCTTTTCCCACTGTGTGATTTTTGAATCTGCTCCCAGGGTAAGAGAGGTGGACAGCCACACACAGCCAGCGCTTCTGCCAGCATTGCCTTCTGCCCTGGCGACAACACACCAAGCCAGTTAGTTTTATTCTGTGTGCCCTGGCAAAGGAGGCTGACCTCCAAAACGCATAGGTATCTGCTTCCCTTTGTGAGCCATTTCTGTTTCCAAAGGACCTGTGAAGTTAGGAACCAGTAAGTCTTCATTTCCTTTTTCAGAGAACTCTTGACAAAGTGGGATGAGGAAGCCACCCAGATCATTTTGCAGTTGGCTGTCTTCAGCGCTTCCTTCCTTCCAAGCAGCATTCAAGGTGGTCCATTGAGACTGGGTGTTCTGGGAAGCCCATTCCTAAACGTAGCTGTGCTGAAGGGTAGCAGATAAGAGGAAGAAGCTGTATCCACACACTGTCTCAAACTGGAGAAGAGCATATCAGTACAGCACAGCAACAACAAGGCACAAATAACACCTAGCACACTTCAGAAATATTTAGGTGTGCAAAGTGCGCAAATGTACCTGCACTGCAACATCCTGAGAATTAATGCCAATTTCACCAGACTCTCTGTTTAATTTAATAAAAAGGTGGAATACTTCAAAATAGCTGTTTTTCCCCCAGTTTCAAAGGAAACATTCTGTTTTGCTTTAGTTAGAAGCAATTATTGTTAGAAAACAAACAAACAAACAACGATTAAAATAATATTGAGAACTCCTGAACTAAAACAGAATACTCAGGAGGCTTAGAAAACAAGGTTTTTTGTTTCTTTGTTTGTTTGTTTTGTTTCTTTGGAAACACCAGATGTTTTTGTCACTCACCTGTAATAATTTTTCTCCCAAGTTTTTGCAATTGTGATAACACAATTTCCTCTTCCACTTTTCTCCTGACTCATGTGAACTGGGCATACATCTGACCTGGGGCTTGCTGTCTCATCTGTGAAAAGCCAGCCCCAAAATTTGCATCCAATTGTAGTCTCTACACTAGCTATTAAACTCCTTGGGTTTGTTTAGGGGCAGGTTTTCAGTTGGCCTTGCAGCTGAAAGCCTTCAGTCAGGTCTACTCAGCTGCCCATTGCAATTTGAGGCATTCCTTCACCTCACACAGGTGGATCCTATTTCCTACATCTACCGACTCTGTCTTTCGGCTGCTCCAGATGAACAGCATTAGAAGATAGCTCACAGGAGGGGATATTTTCAAAATAGATCCAGAGAATTTTGTTGTGGTGGAAGTTTTGGGGCTGGAAGCTTACAGCTTCTCACAGGTTAATGGATGCTGATTCAGGCACCCTGTGGTTAGTGTCCTGGTGTGTAAGATGTTACCCATGACTTAGACCATGTCTCCACGCTGATTCAACCAAAGGCGTGAAGCCAGTGCACAGGATCCAGGGCTGTTAGGTGTTTCCCATGCAGATGCTTTCATTTAGCACCAATGTTGTATGAAAGGAACTCATTTTGTCCTTCTCTTCCTGTGGGTAAGTCCCTCGCATTGCGAGCAAGTTTGTCATGAAACACCAGCACAAAGGACTTCTTAGCATTGCTTTAGGAAAAACATTATCTCCACAGCTTCACTAACTGTACAACTGGACCCTTGGCTGCTGTAATCACAGGGGGGGAAAGATAAATCTGTATAGCCTTATTAATGATTTTCCTTAATGTTGTATGAAATATCATCTTCATCTCTGGTCTGCAAAGCATCCGAGTCTTTGAGCACAGCTAAAATTAGCAAGGGAGCCATTTGGAAGCAGCATTCCTATGGGCGGTGGTGAGCTGCCTGGTGAGTAGGGGTCCACCAGTGCAAGCTGCCTTGGGGAAGCTGCTGCTGTGAATGACACCATCCTTCCTGGGGAGACAGCAAACCACCACAGCGTGGGTGTGAAGAACGATGGAGCAGTGCTGGGTCCTACTATAAAGGGAGCTTTAAAGGGTGATCTAAAATGGAGGTATGCCCTAACGCAGGTTGGGAGAGGCGCCATCTGCCCACCAGTTCCACTGAAGTGAGCAGCAGTTCAGCGCCTCTCCCACTGAGCCTCCAGAAGTTCTCCTGGAGGAAGCAGGAAAGTGCAAGCTGGCTCCCAGTGAGGGATCTGACTTTACCTTATTTTGTGAAGTGGTGAAAAAGAGGCAGTGATGGTAAATGCAAATATCTGCAACACATCAGGGCCTCAGCACGGAAAATATTTTGAACCTGCTCACCCCTTGCAATACACAAGCATGCAGATAAAGGAGCAGTGTGGCTGTGACATGTGATTCACATAGGCCTTGCTGCAAAGACCAACTGCTCTTCTGGAAAGAAATGTTGCTGAAAAGTCTCATTGAGTAAGGAGTCTTTGGACTCCCTCTAAGACGTGATTGAAACAGGTGCTGAAGATCTGCTCTTAAGAGGGAGAGCTTGACACGCATTGCTGCCTTTGGCATTACAAGAAATGAAGAAGAAAGAGGAAATGATCTGAGCTGTATGCACGCAACATGAGCTGCATCAAACAGCAGTTAGTACGATTCTCCCAGGATGCAGTTTTGCAGCTACATTACTGTCACTCTCTCTCTTAGTGCTGACAGCCAAATTATTTCTTGCATAGCTGTAGTCACACACCTAATAAGCTTGATCCTGCACAAACCCAGAGCATCTTCCCTTTGCTAACAGGTATTCTGTTGGGTCCTGTGCCTGCAAAGCACCAAGATCTCCAGTGTAATTCCAGACGTGGTGCTGGCATGGCTCTGAGCATCCCCAGGGTGGGCCCCAGCTCCACCCAGCCCTTGCAAGCTGTGTGCTCCCCATCTGCCAGCCAGGCTGCGGGTGTCACACAAGAGAGCCTCTGTGCCAGCAGCCAGCACAGCGCACACTGATTAATTCTAAAGGAATGAGGGAGAGGGAAAGAGATGTTTTTGCTAGCAAGCAGCCAGCAATTAAGGATTGCAATAATACTAATGAGCCTGACCAAGGGTGATATTAGCTTCTCAAAATACTTATAGCAAAACTAATACTACAGGTCTGCAGTGGGGAAAGCTGAAGTGTAGCTACTCTATGGTTTATCTTATCCCTGCTGCTGGGTGCCATAATTAAAGCATCCCTGATCCATCAAAGCACTTTCCAGGGACAGAGAGCAGCAGGGGCTGAGAGAGTGAAGCCTCTGGCCCTGCCACTGCTAGCCCAAGTCTGCATGTGCCCCAGGTCACTAGGACCCAGCACAAACCTGCCCTGGAAACAAGGCAGAGCCTGCAATGGGCATGCAGCCTGCAGGACTCAGACTGTGAGCTCCCTGGGGCTCAGGCTGCTTGCAAATATCATTGTGCATCTGCCTGGAGAAGGTTCTGCCAGTCCTCTCCTTTGCAGGGCCACAAGGATTACAAACTGGTAAAAACAGCACTGGCAGAGTTAAAAGTGTGATGCTTCCAGCTGTAAGTGTACCCACCAATGTCTGCTGTTCAGGCCCTCCCTCTGTGCAGGGCTTTCCTCAGGTGCATAAGGTTCCAGCAAAAGAGCAGATTTCCATCCGTGATATATAATAATGTGAGGTGAAAGACTGTGGGGTCCTGAGCAGAGTAAGGTGGATATTAAGTAGGATTTCTGGCTGGGCCTGGCCCATGCAGTTCCATCAGGTTTCACCTTTGCTCAGCCCAACTTGCAGAGGCGCTCTATGCAAATGCAGTTCTCAAGCTCTGACACACGTGACTTTTGAAATGTTCAAGCTATTCAGAGAACAATTTATAGGATCAAATTTTCCTATGTCCCCTCAAGTCATTTTATTAATCACTGGGACCATTCTCAAATGCCTTTCAACACTGAGAAATTCCAGTTAATCATAGCCTGCCCTGCTATCACCCTTCTCAGCATTAGATGGAGAAAGAAATGATGCAGCGAGGACCTTAGTCACACTAACAGTGCTTCAAGGCTAAGTGGGGAATGGGATGTGAATCATCTTTGCCTTTTCTTTCATTTAAGGGAAATAGAGAATACAACTGCTGCTCTGACTATGAAATGCAAAAGACAGTGACAGCGCTTCCTGCTTTATTCCCACACGGGTCCATGCAGCCCAATCCTTCCCTGCATGCAGTTATATGGACTGAAATAGCCCAGCTCTATTTAAAGCCATTCCTTGGAGATTTGCTGACTGCATCTTAGTGAACAGAAAGCTGTTATCCAGGACTGGCTGTGGAGTGAACCAAAGGATACTTTCCAAAAAAGCCAGTTCCTGTTATGTAACTCAACCTTACCTTGTCCAGAGACTTTTTGCGCATTACAGATGTAGAAGGGCAGCAGGATGTGGTGTGAGGAGAAAGCAAGCCAGCTTGTCAGGAAAGTGCAAGCATGGTAATGATAAGCACTGCACCCCTTCACTTTTAAAAAAATTTTCACAGTTTGCTGAAATCAACAGGGCACTTTTGGCACCCAAGGTACGGAGCAAGGAGCAGCTTGAGCAAGCAAAGGGGAATATGAAGTCATTGGCCAACATGGTAGGGAACAGAAGGTGAAGCAGGATCTCCCTCATGCAGCCCCACAGGAGTGCTGCAAAGGAGCATCCAGGATTTGTTTATGTGCTTTGAGCAAGGGCTCTACTAAAGAGCTGAGCGCTCAGCTCCAGCTCCTTCTACCACTTCAGCCTGCTCCTGCCCTACTAAACGTAAAGACCTTTTGGGGCATTGAGGCCATGGTATCTGCAGTGGTTTCCTGCCAAAGCAACAGGAAGCTGCAGGCATCACATCTACGCCCAGAAGCTGGTCATGCTGTGGAGCCTTTGCAAGCTGCCCAAAAGGGTCAGGGCCAGCCAGTGAGCCTGTGGCAAGGAAAAGCTGTGCAACTCACTGCAAGCCAGCTGGGCAACTGCTTGCTGCAAGCAAAGAGCTCATTGCATGTCTGCCCTAGGGAGGAATCCTAGCGAGCTTCTGGACAAGCAGCAGCTGCTGTGCTTTTGTTGGGATTTCCTGGCCTGAAATACATGTATATGTGCTGTGGTGCTGTGCATACACTGAGCCTGACAGGTTATATGCATCAGGCTTCCTGCACTGTGGGCGGCAATCTGCTCAGGGTGGCCAGAGAGCTGCAGCTGCTGTTGCACAACAGATCCCAGGATTTCCAAACACTTGGCTGTTGCTGGACCACAGCTGTAGTACTGCCTGGTGTCAGCCCAACCAAAGCTCTTGGCTTCAGCACCAGCATCACTTTCAAGGGTGCTAAGAGCTTGTCCAGGCACAAGGTGCCCACTCTGTTGTTTGGTACCCTCTTTCAGGAACTAAGATGTGGCCACCTGCCCCTGCTGGTCCCTTCCATGAATTAACATGCACACGCCATTAAGCTGCTGGCTTTCCTGGCTGATCTGAGCACAACTCTGGATAGCAAGCTGCCATTAATCTAACAGCCAGGTTTGTACATTGCATAGCTTGTCATTAACTTTGGTACATCTCACTTTTGTTGACATGAGTTCCTAGCTGTCCATGCTCAAATGACATGTGGAGCATGGAATCTCCCCACCCCCAAACCCTTCTATCACTGGATAAAGCCACCTCCCTAAACCATGGCCAACAGCCTAATTGCAGCTCTCAGCAGCATGCCTGTATTAACACACTCCCACACTGTAATGCCAAGGTCATAGATTCAGGCTGCAGCCCTGTCTGCAGAGATAGTGTTGACAGTTTTCTTGTTCTGCCTCAAAGCCATTCAGCCCATCTTCCCCCCACCCCCCACTGCTGCCAGCTAGTAGTCGTAAAGCAGTGTCCCCTTACATGAGCTCCTGTGCAAAACAGGCTAGGAGCTCACTATTTTGTTTTGCTTGATGAGATTTATCAGCCTATCGGGATAAACAGATCTGTTCCTAGAAGCTTTGCTGCAGGAGCTGGCAGCCTCCACCAGTCACCAGAGACAAAGAAGAGAAGGCAATGCCAGAAGTTACAGGAGATGGCAGCTTCCAAGGCCACTCCTCTCCCTCCATCAGCCTGAGCACATCTCTCCAGCAGGCCCTGCCACAGCTGCATGCTCCTGCAGAGCCTTTGTGAAATGTGGGAATCAAAGCTGTGCTTAGGGCAATCTGACTTATGTTGGCTAATACAGAGGGGCC